CTATATCTGATTATAATTTATAAGCCAAAACCTTTGTTTTTTCTTTCATAATCTCTTTCTCTTTTGTAAAAATATTCTCTATTGTCTCTTCATGTATAGGATTCTTTTGTTGTCATGTATTTTTTCCCTTGTGATTCTTTTTAATAGTCTTTTGTGATTTTCATCTTTCCTTTATTTTTCTTCTATTAATGCTTCATGTTGACTCTTTTCAATATGAGCATGAATTGATAATCTATCTACCAGATCATTCCATCCAGTAATTTGCCAAATATTATTGCCAATATTTTTTAAATCATCTTTAGTAAATTTTTTCTTTTCAGTATAATTCATTGCACTTGACCACAAAGAATTATATTCCTTTCGATATTCAAGATTTATATTTAAACATTTGATTGGATTTTCTTCCATCCAAAGTATTGATGCTTCATTCCTTGAAATTGAATGCACTTTAAAAGCATCTCCCACAAACACCTTCATTCCTCCTTTACCAAAATTTGTTTCCAAATTTTCTCCACTCTCTTTTGAGTGTATCATACCATCTTTAAAAAAAATAACTCCTTTGCGTAGTACCTCTAAAAAATCTTCACTCCCTTCTTGAATGATCTGTGCTATCACACCACATGCACCTATGCTCTATACCTTCTATTGGTTCCAATTCTTGTCTTGTTGATATTCTTGATGTTTGGCCCTTCTCCTCAAGTTTTGCAAATTTAATTTGTAAATCTCTCATCCCACATATGATTTCATCCATACTTATTTCTTCTTTCTTTGATATAGACATTGACAGTTGAGTCATAGATGTAGGATGAGTAGAAGGTATTTTTGCCTTAGATACTTACAATGGTTTTTGAACACTCACTTTGTTCTTTCTTCTTATTATTTTTGCAAGTAATCCTATTGCTTCTTCTATTTTCTTCCAATTTGTTGTCAATCCTTTTTCTTCTTCTTTATCTTCAAGCAAAATTTTCAACTTATCTTATAATTCTCCATTAGTTGCTTGAAAAAATAACTCCACTTTGCTTGGATCTAATAATTATCTTTTCTTTTTTGATAAAGATGAATATTATCTTTTAAACTCTCTCAATAATTCTATTGCTTAGAAATCCTTCTTAGGTCTTTTAATCCACTCAAAAAATAGATTTTTTGTAATCTTGTCACTATCTCCTAAAAAATACTCATCTTTTAATGCTTGATATAAATCTTCCCATGAACTTCTAAATTGTCCTATAATAGACTTCACATGACTTTGTATTTTTGATGTAATAGCCAATTCAAATAATTTAACCATATTATTCTCAAAAACACGCTTCAATTTCATCTCCTTTACATAGCACTTTAAATTATTTGTGATATTCTTCCTTTCAAATTGATTAATCTTATCCACAACCATTTGTAATGCTTTATTTTTCATACCCTCTTTGCAATCTTTAACCTATTGTTGTTGCATAAATAAGGCAAATGCCTCAAACATACTTGCAGAGTTGGAGTCAAAATATATATCTTGTCCTCTAATTGAAACTCGATTTTCAACTCTACTTGAAGCACCATCAAAAACTCCTCCTTCCATCTTCTTGCCTTCTTTCTCTATAATTCAAATAAACCAAGAAAAATTTCTAAATACCTTCCACCTTAAACTTTTCACGTCAGGTTCACTAAAATGTGTCGTATTACGTGGAATTTGGCTTGAGAATGCATTAGGCACTTGACTGTAGAAGATTAAAAAAAATTACAATAATAAGTTCTAACAACTCTAATAAACTCTTAAACAAATTACAATTAAAAATTAGCAAATATAATCAAACATCAAATCAAATTCAATCAAAATTTCAAAGGAATTATATAAGAAACATAAAGTATTTTAAAAGAATCTCTAAAAGAATCATAAAGAAATAATATTGAATTTAAAAAATATTAAAATAAAAATATTAATAAAATATTAAAATAAATAACTTAATTAAATCTTAGTCAAATCCTAACCAAACCTTAAATAAATCCTAGTCAAATCTAAACAAATCTTAATCAAATCCTAATCAAATCTTAAACAAATCTTAATCAAATCCTAATCAAATCCTAAACAAATCTTAATCAAATCCTTATCAAATTCTAAATGAATCCTAACCAAATCCTAAACAAACCTTAAATAAATCTTAAACAAATCATAATCAAATCCTAAAAAAATCCAAAATAAATCCTAAATAAATTCTATTCAAATCCTAAATAAATTCTAATCAAATCCTAAATAAATCCTAAATAAATTTTAACCAAATCCTAATCAAATCCTAGTCAAATCTTAACAAACCCTAACCAAATCATAATCAAATCCTAAACAAATCCTTAATAAACCTTAATCAAATCCTAGTCAAATCCTAAACAAATCCTAAATAAATCTTAATCAAATCCTTATTAAATCCTAAACAAATCCTAACCAAATCCTAAAAAAACCTTAAACAAACCTTAAGCAAATTATAATCAAATCTTAAATAAATCCTAAATAAATCCTAATTAAATCCTAAATAAATTCTAATAAAATTCTAAATAAATCCTAAAAAAATCATAACCAAATCCTAATTAAGCCTTAATCAAATCCTAACGAAATCTAAAAAAATTATAATCAAATCTTAATCAAATCTTAACCAAATCCTAAAAAAATCCTAAATAAATCTTAACCAAATCCTAGTCAAATCCTAAACAAATCCTAATCAAATCCTAAACAAACCTTAATCAAATTCTAGTCAAAACTTAAACAAATCTAAAATAAATCATAATCAAATTCTAAATAAATCCTAGTTAAATCTTAAATAAATCCTAATCAAATCCTAATCATACCTTAATTAAACCTTAAAGAAATCCTAACTTTGCAAAGTTCTTACAAAATCAAAACACATTCAAATCACCTCAAATTAATACTCAAAAAAAATCTATCAAGTCAACTCCTAGATTCTATCTTCCGATCTCCAAAATAATTTCAAAATCATCGTCGGAGCTCAATTTTATGCCTGAGGGTCTGATTTTGACCCTAGTTCATAACCGGCCCTCTTTGAGTATCAATATCTAGTTTTTTTAGATAATTTTTACCAAAAACTATTCCTAACTTCTTTTCAAAGATGCTTGTATTTTTTATTTTTCCAATATATTTTATTTTACTCTATTTGTGGTACTACAAAGTGAGTAGAAGCCTATTTTGTAAAAAAGCAATATTAGCACCTTTAATTTTTCTACCCCTTGACTATTATCTATTTTTTTAAGATAATTTATTATAATATATTTGAAATAAGATTTCAAAAATATGTTATTTTCTTTATTTTTTTACATATTAGTCATTTTATATCACAACAACATAGAAGTTATAGATGGTCTGATGTTATCTTTTAAAGATGTTACTCACGAAACCCTTCCTATAGAAATAATAACTAATGGTCATAATAGCTTTGTGGTATTTAATATCATTAGATCACATACTACAAGTTCCGCATCTCCAATAATGATTGGGTCTCAAAGACATGTTAATGAGATGTAGCTAGCAATTTCACGCGCTTTCATTAGTTACTGTGTCGAAGTAGAGAGAGTTTGCCTCAAGAAAGCATTGAGCTTCTGGCTACCACTAAATGCTCAATCAAGTCTAAGATACAAAAGTACCAAGTTTATATATATATAATATATTCTCTTTTAAGGCAATTACATCAATACATAAGCTCAAGTACTAAGAAAACATCCAAATATATGATAAAGTATCTTAAAACCTTATATACCCTTATGAGAAATATTTCTCAAACTTCAATAGGTCATATTTCACGATTGGACTATCCAAACAACCTTAAATTTTACATGAAATACTAATATACTTTCAAAAACTATCACAAAAAAATTCAAGTATAAATTCATTACGAATCTTGAGATATTACCAAAATCCTAACAGTAGCTTTAAATCCTAGCTTACATATACTTGCATACTATTTTCTTTATATCTCACAAAATAAATACTCAAATACAATGAAACTTTAATCTATAGCTTTTTAATCTAATAATTCACACTTATCGAAATTTTGAGCCAAAAATTCGTCTAAAAACTCAAGATATTGCTCTGACCAATACTATCAATAAAATGACTTACTTACTGCCTTTCAATTACATATGTTGTCCTCAATGCCCTATAACTCCTTCATCTAGACTTGAAATTTGTCAAACAGTATATATAAAGTGTAGTCAAGAAAGTTTTCTCTCCAACTCCAATCGCCGATCTTTCATTGCGATCCGTACTCATATGTTATGCTTCAAAGAGTGATAGTAGATATAAATTTGATACCTTAACTTTGAACACTTATATCTCCTTCATAAAAACTTGAAATCATGCAAACTTTTCATCCAAATTATATCTAAAACCTTGAACTTGCTAATCCTAGCCTCCAAAGCTCAAATGCCTCCGAAAGTAAAACCCTAATTCCTAATAAGGCCTTGGGTAGCCTCCTTGAAGTCCATTGGGCATGACATTTGGCTAGTAGGGATGAAGGTCTTCACCCCTTGCCTTCATCCAACCATACCTTGCTTTCATCCTTTTCAATAAGCCTCCTAATAGTTTAGACTTTCATCTTTAAACTCCAACCTTCTCTTAAGCTTTATATTAAATATCTAAATCCTACATAATATAAATACTATAATCAAAATAGATAAATCTCCAAATAAATTTCCTTATATCAATTCTCTTTAAATTTATTTACTAACCACTCTAATCTATTTCAAAACTTACAAACATATTATATGTCTTAATTAATTTTTACATACTATAAGCAATTATAGTACTACAATGGTTTATTTTGAGTGGAACGATCTTTCTATGTTGCTAACATTCACATTGGAATACTCTAAAAGATGCCAGATTTTCAGTAGCATCAAACAGCAAGCAATTGTAGCAGACATGGTAACCCATAGGTTGCAGATGATGTGGAAAGTACCCGTGCACCTGCAGTAATGCCTCGATTAGAACAAAGAACGACTAAATCCAGTATTGACCAGAAAAATTACATTGAAGTGGTCATATACACAGTGATGCCGGTGTCCAAAAAACAGTCAGATGAAACGACCTCAATGCCAACTGTGTCATCGTACTGGCAGCACCAGAGTCCAGAATTTAAACTGCTGAAACTAGACAAGTGCATTGCTTTTTGTCTGCTGCGAAAAAGCAGCACATGTCCTTGGTTAACTATATGATTCTACAGTGCTAGACTTCAATCGCCTCTCGAAGTTGCAGAAACTTTATTTCCCTCCAAATCTGTAGCGCAGAACGAGTTCAAGAGACTGAATCCTGAGATAGAACATAGAACAAAGGGGTTCTCTCGTCATGGTTGGTGATGGTGGTGAACCATCATGTAGAGGATTTTGGAAAACTAAAACAGCACGCAGAGAAAAGCTTCACTCATAGCACACAAGAGACTCGACTTGCAGGTTATCGACTTCAATTGACTGTTCTGATTCTCCGTTACGAAATTCAAAATTTATATCGTGGTGATGGATCCATAGATAGGATTGCCGCGAGATGCTCCACGTCAGGTTACTTTCTGGATAAGTATGCAGCGAAACCGTCACAGATTATGAGTCCTAATTCAGAGAGAACATCAACGTGCCTATGAAAGGAATTGACATTTTGAGAGAGATCGCAATTACATCTCTGATGAGAAAATTATTCTGCTATTCCTCGGCTCTGGAGCCAGGACCGAAGATGGCTCGCTTTTAGAGCATTGTGGACATATTCGTGCACATTCAACGTCTTCAAGCGCCGCAAGGTGCTGAGACCTCCTTGTTGGGGTTGAAGCTCTTCACTTCGAACTCCAGACAATATACTTTGGTTGTGGTTAAGCTCTACATCCACACCCGCAATGTGTTGGTTATGTACTTCGAAAAACTTTCAAGGGAGGGAATAAATTTTAATCAAATTCACATAGGGCTTGTAGTCCAGAAAACGGGAATCGAATCCTCTAGAGAGATAAATAAGGAGCTTGACACGAGAGAAATTGTTAAGCTCGTAATACTCAGTGTATCGTACATTCGAAGCCAATTGTGATGCAGCATGTGAAATCAAGCTCTACAATGCAAATCCTGTAGAAATAACTCACAAATCAACATGAATAGATCAGTGGAACAATTACCTTCCAAATCAGGCTTGACATCCTCAGTCAGTCCAACTCCAATCCCCCCGCTCACGGCATCTCCCACCGAAGATTCACAATCACGAGCCACACTTGATTGCTCCTCATTTCCTACCTTCTCACTACTTCGCGTTTGCAAGCCTACAAGCACTGAAACCAGCTTCTCCAATTCTGTGAACATCATCTCATCTCGCATCCACGCATCAGCTAAGACAACCCGAAGCTCCTGCATTTCTACTCGCAGCTCCGCACTCTCTCGTCGCCACTCACTGGCACAATCTTCCCTAGCACATGAAATTCTCCAAGAATTCTTCCCCAAATTGAGGCGCTGAGGAGAGGAGGCGAGCGCGCCGGTAGGCATAGTCCAAGATTTTCCCTCATCACAGGCGAACGCAAGAAGGGCTCCCCTGCAGCCAAAGACGACGGGCATCGCCATAGCTGCAACACAGAGATTCAGCACGTCCAAAACAGGCTTCACCATTCACCAGGAACGAATGGACTTCCAGGCACAGCATCCGGTTCTGAACCGGATATCTTCTCCACGATGGTATAATCACGTTCTCAACAGCTTAATCCCTAAACGAAGAGAACAAGCCTATTGAGTTGCGCCTTCTTCGTGATCCCAACACAAAACCTACCCATTCTCCTTCCTTCCTTTATCAAGTCTTCACAGGCTCCATCTTTTATCTCGCTTTGATAAGTTACCGACAGCGAATTTAGATAAATTAACGGGCTGCAATTGCAGAATACCGCAAGTACAATCAGAGTATATTGCGCAATGTTCGTTGCCTTCCTAGTTTCAATCACTTAATTGTGACTTGACAATTACTGCAACAGTTTTGGTATGCTTGCGACATTAGGATAGTACGCATGCTTCCCAAAGAGCTCATGAGTTTATCGACATCACGCTCGAAGCGGCTGAATCTATTCTGCGGCAATTTGAAGTTGCCCATCCGATACGAAACTTGCCCAACGTTATCCTCATCATTTAGGTTTAGATTGAGGGTAAAACTCCATCTATATGTGTGTGTGTATATATATATATATATAAATATATATATTTTGGCGAAGCTTGATTTGATCTGGTACGTAGGTGGACGATATAATGCCTGGTGGATAAGCGACCTCGGTGGACGTCTGGAGGCCTGTGACACGCTTTATACAAATGTTGAGTACCTGACTCTTAACCGCAGCTTGGAAGCAAGTGATATGGCTTTGAGCCATGCCAGAGATTTGGTCAGCAAAGGCATGAGCCGCCTTGAGGAAGAGTTCAGGGCGCTTCTTCCTTTCACAGGTCAGTATTGAGAGTGGTAGTCTGTGGTCTACTTTGCTGATGGATAACACATCTTCAGTTCTAAAAGTGAGAATATATTTGTGTACAATATCAAGAAACCACAGTTACTCGAGGAGGATCTATTATTAGGTTGTGTGTTCAGAGAAACGGTTTAGATCTAAGTACAAAGCTTGAGCCACTCAGTTTGGTTTCTTGTGGTTGTTTGGTGCATCAATGACTTTCTAAGAAAGTTGATCAGTGAAGGGAGCCAACAGAAGATGCAAAAGTTAGTTGGGTGCAGCCAAGGTTAGTTGGATCTTGGAGTGATGCAAGTTGTGTTTTGCTTTGTGAACTTGGTTATTTTGGATCAATGACCTTGCCTTTATTATAGGGGAGAAGGTTGTACTATATCAAGGATTTAGGCCCAGTATAGTGGAAATAGTGGGAGCATTAAGTTAAGGATTTTAGTAGTTCATAGTAGGGAGGAGGTTGAGTTATATTTGGATTTTAGGATTTTAGACTCTAGTAGAAGAGAATATTGTAGATAAGGGTTTTATGTCTAGTTCTTCTCAATTGTTTGCATAGCAAGTATAGATTACATGCTTGGTTAGAAAGTTTTCATGTTGAATAGATGCAAGAATATAGTCTATTTCTACTTCTTTCATTTTTTTAATTTTTTTTAATAAAATATATCTTTATATCTATAAGTTTGGTCTTTTCATGTATAACCAAGTTGTTTATAAGTCGGATGTAGGATTGATTGTTATTAAAAAAAGATATAGAAATTGTGTTGTTGATTTTTTTAATTTTTCAAAGAATATTTGGAGGTGAATTATCCATGTTGTTACATTAGAAAGAATCTTATATGTGGCTTTAATATTGGATAGGAAGATTACATCTTATAACTTGTTTAATTAGTATATACTCGAATCACTCAACTTGTAAATAATGCTTGATGTTGATCTTTCAATGTCTAAATCTCTTTTCCAATGGGCATGTATAAATATAAAATAAGATTCACTACATGTACAAGATAAGTCTTGACTAAAATCTAGTATATCTTTTAGGTATCTAAGAATTTATTTTGATGCCACTAAATATGTTTTTTTTGGTAAATCTATGTATTTTCTGATACAACTTATAATTTAGCAAATATTTAGTCATGTCTTAATAACATAAATGAGACTAATATCCAATGTTCAAAAAGTTTCAAAGTCTACTCAATTTGTACCTATTTGTTTTTGTTGATGTATACTTAGATCTATAAAAAAATTGCTTGAAGTGCAATGTATCATATTTAATTTCTTGAATAGCTTCCTAAAGTATGTTCTTTGATACACCCAAATCCTTGAATGAATACAATTAATTTCTATTCACAAATAGAATTTTGCTAAATCTAAGTCTATTATTTTAAAGTTGTTTTGCAAAGTCCATTTGCAAATACTTGAGAACTTTTTATCCATCTCTTATAATTAATAAGTCATCTACATATAGTAGAATTATTCTAAATTTATTGCTCTACTTTATATAATATAAGTTTAAATCTGTAATGCTTTGGTGAATCTTTGTTCTATGATTTATGAATTTATTCAAGCATATTATCCTTATAGAGCCTATTTTAACTTGAACTGCATTCCTTTGAATTTATATACTTTTGATGGATCATTGGTACTTATAAGCCTAGCTAATATTTTCATAAAGACCTCTTTATAAAGCCTATTATATAAGAAAGTAATTATGACATTTATTTGTTTAATTTTCTACTTTTGATTGGCCGCAAGTGAAATAATAGACCTAATGATTATCTTATATATAATTAGTACCAATATATTAAAATAGTCTATTCTATAAATTTATTAGAAGTTCTTTGTAATAATTTTGGCTTTTAGCTTTTGAATTGTATCATCTAGTTATTTTTTTAACTTTATAGATCTATTTTATAATTATAGAAATTTTATTAGATAATCTATTTACAATATTCTTGTGGATATTACTTCCATCTATAAGAATTCAAAAAAAAAAAAAAACAAACACCAACTCCTAACAATCAACTTATTCTGCAATGGTCATATTATATTGTTTAATAATTCTTTTTTGCTAAGAAATCAATACCTAAGTGAGCTATTGAAAAATACCATAGATATCACAATAAGTTTTGAACTCATGTAATAAGAATTCACAACCGCAATCTATCCATAGTGATGTGATTTTATTTTTAATTTCTATTTCTACATGTTTTATGAAGATCTAAAATTTTAAAAATATATTTGCTTCATTACCTAGGAAGTATATGTAACTATTTTTAAAAAAAAATCATCAATAAAGACTACAAAGTATGACAATTCCTTTAATTACTTAATTAGTAAAGAATTAATTAAATTTACGTGTATCAATTTTACAAGTTTAGATGCTTTATTTTTAGAATGATGGAAAAATCTTTTCCTATGTTATCTGTAAATAAGACAAATTTTACATACAAATTTTAGAAAATCTATTTTAGATAAGCAAGTTGTCTTGTTTTATTTCAGTAAATATATGAAATTATAATGGCTAAGATGATTATATCTACAATGCCAAATAACACTTTAATTTATATCATCTATACTATTCATTTGATAATTACTTTTCTATCTATGTAATCTATTTATTGGATGTCAAAAACCAATAGTCATAATAGTTTTATTATAAAGATTATGTAATATTTAGTTGTAAATGTTTAAAAAGAAAAAAAAATAGTATTGGAAATTATATCTATTAAAATGAAATTCTTATATAAACTTAGTACATACAAAATGATTGTGAAGTTTATTTTACCAAAATTAGTTTTTATAGTTGATATGCCAACTTCTTCAATGGCACGGTTTTTTCTACTAGCTCTACATATATTCTTTCCTACACTATCTTATTGTCAAGAATATAAATCTTGAAGAAAGAAATCCTCAATATACTCTTATGCCTCACGATAGAACTAGAAAGTCACTCAAAGATGATATAATATTAAATTAGAATAGCTATTGCTAAAAATAAAAAGACTAGAAAGTTTTGAAACAAGACTAAGAATTAGAAAAGTATTGATAAGAATAAAGAAGACTTTATTCTTGCTTCTATATATACTCTTAACTAGGAGTTACATGGCAATATCCTATAGGATCTTTAAAATGTGTTGATTTTATAAGACATATATCTTAACTTACAAGGCAAGTTTTTTATATCCATGCCACATAATCAACTTATTCCGCAAGCTATCAACAAGTGATTAACTTATTGACTAAGTTTCTAACCTATCAATCAACTATAAATACATGTAAAGTCAAAACAACATCTATAAAGCTTTTGGGAAGTTTCTCTAAAAAATATTATAAAATAAATCTATTTTTATCTACTTCTATTTAATCATATAAAAAAATATTATAATAAATATGTAAATTTGTGATATTACTCCTTCTTTTAGGGACAAATTCCACAAGGAGCAATCATCATATATTAAAAATATTCAAGATGTGACAAATTATGTTTGCACATACTTTGATCTTTTTTTTCTCTGAAGATGGTTGATAGGTCTTCTTAGCCATCAAAAGTGTCCTATAATAGGGCAAAAAGATGATTCTATTATTTGATTATTATTTAGGCCTTCATAACTTCTTTCAAATAAAATATTTGAAACATTGTCAAGAGTTGTTTCAATCTCTAATAAAATCACCAAATATTGGGAGTCTCTTCTAAAGTTATAAACCAAATACATTGTATCTTGCTATCTATTCAAATAAAGATGAACTATTCTTGAGGATCTTCATCTCAATTACGACATCTTGAAAGTTGTAACAATTACAATGTTTCATTTAATAAGTCAACAAATGATAGTTCTTGAGTTGAATCTGTTGGTTGTTGATTCTCTATGTCATTAGCATCAAAAATTTATAAAAGTACCAAACAAGAATAGAAGATATAATGCTATCTTTCCCAAACATTTTTTATTTTATAGTAAAGATTTGATATTCTTCATCTTTTTTTTATGGATGTTGTTAATGAAAAACTTCAATCTTCTTTGTTGCATTTACAAGATTCTTTACTGGCTTCCATGTGCATTCACTAATATCATATCCGTGCAAATGAATAAGATATTTTAACCTATTTTGGCACCACTTTGAATTTAAGACTTCTTCCACATTGAATTGTCGATTATAATCCACTTCTATAGAAAGAAATGTCATTTGTCTTCTTTTCAAGATATTCATTCTCTTATATGTCTCAAAAAGAGATATATAAAATATAAAATGGAACTTTATAGACTCTGATAGATATAATCAATAAGCAATAAGATTGACTTATTTATTAATAGAAAAAGGTTCAAGCTTACAATAGTCCAACTTATCACAAAGATAAGTAGTCTTAATATTCCAACAAAATAGTCATACCTTATCACCTACGTTGAATTTTCATTGTTCCTTATAATAGGCATCTATATTAATCTTTTGTCGTTCTTGAGCTTCCTTTAATTTTACCTTTATTATTACATGTAGTTTTCACAAATGATTGCCAAAGCTTTTATTGCAAGATTATCAACTTTTAAAAAATCAAAAGTTTTAAGTTATACATGATAACTATAATTGGAAAAGAAAAGTATTTGTTGAATAAAAAAATATATTGAATCATTGTTTGCAAAATTTGCCAATAGTAAAAAAATTATTCAATTATTTTTATGATAATTAATGGTATATTTTAAATACTGCTCCAAAACTTGATTCATCCATTTTGTTTATTCAACAATTTGAGGATAAAAAGCCAAAGAAAGATTTATATCTACCTTTAATATTTTAAAAAGAATTCTCTAAAATCTTAATATAAATTGAATCGACCTATTCAATATAATATCCTTAAACATTCTATGATAGTGATAGATGTTGTTAAGAAAAAGCTTAGTCATTTTCCCATTTATGGTAGATCTTGTATAAGGTATAAAATATGTCATCTTAATAAAACAATCTACTATTATGAATGTAAAATTATATAAACCTAAAATTAAAAGATTTATAATAAAATCTATAAAAATAAAATATCATGATTGTTTTAGAATAGATAATGGCTGAAGAAGTCTATAAGATTGATGACAAGGAGTTTTGAATTTTGAACAAATACCACATAATTATATAAAGTCTTTGATTACCTTCTACATTTGAGGCCACCAAAAATCTTTAGATATTAACTCCAAATTCTTATTGTATCCAAAATATCCAACTACTAAAAAGAATCAAAAGACTTTATTTATTGAATTTGCTTCATAAAGAATGAATCAATAATCAATGTTGATTTTATTGCTTGAAAATAAAAATTCTCCAATTTCAAAAAAAAAAAAAATCTTTATTGATCAAAAGCTGTATTTCTTTCTTTTGATGTAAGATAAGAAAGTCTAGAAAGGAAATTTGATAAATCTTATTCTTTTCCAGATCTATAGATGATTTTGAAATTAAATTTTAATAAAGACATACTCCAATAAGCTTTGCGATAATTCAAAATACATGTTGATAGGAATTACTTGAAGTTCTTATGATTTATATATATAGTAACTAGACTAGAAGCACCTTCTAGATAATAACGTGATTCTTAAAAGTAATCCACACTTGCAAGAAGCTCTTTGTCATGGATTTTTTAGTTAATTTTAGCTATTGAAAATTTTTTGGACAAAAAAACTATCCTATGAAGCTTA